TGTTATGGACTCGGACAAATTCAAGAGTGATACGGAAACTTTTGACGTCATTTGCATGCAACTTAAATAAACAAATATTAAATTTTGTCGGTCAAAAGTTATCTACAAATTCTCCACCAAATTTGCATTTTAAAAGTGTATGAAGTGGTCCTCTCTCTCCAATATTTGATTGGACCAACCTCAACCTTTATATTGATCCCACTGTCCAGTCGGCTAGCCCCCAAGTAACTTTTTCCCAAGTAACTTGTTCTTTCTAACTTTTGTCTCTCTTTTTTTTTTAATTATAATTACTTTGTATTTTAACTTATTGTTAGATTATGAGTAATTTAACTCGTTAAATTTATATTTTAAAAGCGCAAGAAGTGGTCTTCTCTCATTTTCGTTGCTTCTCCTTCTTCAATATTTGATTGGATCAACATCAACTTTTATATTATTCCCATTGTCCCAGTCAATTATTTTATTTTAAATATTTTTATTTTAAATAATAAGTTATTCATGATGAATTTAAACTCAATTGATTATATCTTTTATGTGAATCAAAATGATAGTCATCTTCATACTAGTTATATGGTTAGTGTTTTATTTAATCAATATATTAGTGTTATAATAATTTTAATTAATATCAATTTATTTTTTTTATTAATAACCATACCTATAATCTATATTATAGTATAAAGTCCTACCCTAAACAAATCCCTAGTTCCACCACTGGTATCCCGCCCAAGCTAAACAAATCCCGATTAATTAGGACTTTAAGAAGGAATCCGGGAACTATCCTGCCCAAGCTAAAAAAATCCTTAAATATTTGGGCTTGAAAAAAAAGGCATTTTGGGCCTCGTTTCGTAGGAGGCTTTAATCGGGCTTCGTTTTTTGGGCCTCACAACTGAATCCCGCCCAACTAGAATTCAGGTTTAAACCGAAACCACGCCTCTTCGGGCCGTACACAAATTTTCGGTAAAAACGCCGACCGACGTCAGTTCATTATTCAGTTTTTGGTCGGTTAATCAGAACCTTACCCACCCCTAGCTCTACTTCTTCTTAAATCCTCAATTATGGTGAGTTTAATTTGAATCTTGAATTCAATTAGCAATTTGACTGATTTTTGAAAAAGTGACTTTGCATTTTGAATTCTCCAATCTTTCGTTATTCCCTTTGCTAGCCCTTTTCTCACACTTATACTCCACCATATCCTTTAATGCCTTGTTCTCCTCTTGATGGGACTTTTCTATTAACACACCATGCTCTTCAATTTTTGTACTTCAAGTTGCAATGTAAATTGATTTTGATCTCTTACTATAAGAGAATGATTTCAATCGGGAAATATTGGGGCAGCAAGAGAGAGAAGAAAGCAGACGGAGAATGAGGGATAAGAAAAAAAAAAAGGTCTGCATAGGAGAAGTAAATGAAAGCATTTCAGTCGTTATAAAATGTAAATAACCCACAATTAAAACAGTCACTAAATCTAAAATAGATATTACTTCAATAAGGTTTTGATAGTTTATTTAATACTCACTAAGTTGTGCACTATAAGTTAAAAAATCTTTAATTATTGTTTTTAAAATAAAAATTTTATTTTACAATTTAAACTGCATCAAACTATAAAACAAAGATTATCAAATAAAGGGAAGAAACTCCCAACATTAAAAGCCCCACCCTCATCTAATGATTAATATAATATAATTTGATATAATAATATTATAATGAAATTCATGTAATAATTAATATTTTCACATTAAATGATACCGTAATCAAAGTATATTTTAGGAAAAACTATTTTTTTGGAAACAAATATTACGAATAAAGCAACAGTAGATGCAACAGAGGAAGAAAAAATAGAATAATAAAGAAGATGATTTTAGTAGCATTATGGTTTATATAGATGAAGCCTAGTGATCGTCCTCCGATGAACAAAGTTGAAGAGATGGTTCAAGAAAAACTCAAAAGCCTGCCAATGCTCCCCAAACCTGTTCTGTTTCCTGAAGAGGCACAAGAAAGGACTGTGGGAGACCAAACAAATCAAACTGAATCTTCATCTTCAGATTATACAGAACACAATCAGTTTGCTTTCAGATGGAAGGTAACTGGCAATGGTAGTTTGCAACCTTTTGTTCAATTGTAAGGAAAACTAACACAATCATGCCAACACGTCATTATACCATTGGTCCAGGTTGCTGCCCTAATTAGTGATGTTTTCAAATCTCCCCTAACTATTAAAATGTTTGACAAAATCAATGTTTTATAGTTAGTTCATACGAATTCAGAGAAGCTTTTCTTTTGTAATTTTTCTTTTTTGAAATGTTTTGGCTCACATGGGAGAGAGTTGAATTTGTTTGTCTTTGGATTCACCTAAAATGGAACATTTAATGTTCATGTAATAAAAGATCCTGGAACATTAATATATTATCTCTTGTTAACCAAAATAGAAACTGATATTGAGGCTTCCACAGGAAGAAGGGACACAATGCTTGCTCTGGCCTCCAGCAGTAGAAGCATCAGTAAACAGAAGACAGAAAGAGCCATGAGATTATTTTCTAAATAAATGAATATCAAATAACGCTCAAATATTCTATCAAAAGAGTAATCTTATTTCATTAAGAAACCATATATGATCAAATAAATCAAAGTACAAATGTTGAAGATTGATATATTCGAGTTGTGAAAAGGTCATTTACTTAATAAACAATGCAGTATATGTAAACATATGTGACGCTGTTATGTGTAAGCAAGTCAAGGTAAGGCATTTGGAGTGCACCTTATGTTCTAGCATCCAGTGACATAGTTGG